TTTCTCTTTACTTTTTTCTTTTTCTTTTCTTTTTTTTTTTGACAGTCTTGCTTGTACAGGCTAGAGTGCAGTGGCGCATCTCCATGCTGCAAGGTCAACCTTTCCCGGGTTCAAACCATTCTCTGCCTCAGTCCGAGTAGGCTGGGACTACAGGCTCCAGCACCACACGCCCAGCTAATTTTTCAGAAAGAAAGAAAGAAAGAAAGAAAGAAAGAAAGAAAGAAAGAAAGAAAGAAAGAAAGAAAGAAAGAAAGAAAGAAAGAAAAGAAAGAAAGAAAGAAGAGAGGAAGGAAGGAAGCAAGGAAGGAAGGAATGAGAAGCTGCTGGTCCTTTGTGAGTGGTGGACACGAGCCAGCTACTGCCTCCATTTCTTAGTCCTGCTGTGCCTATAAGAGTAGCAACCCACATTCCTGGAGCAGCTGGCTGATGTCAGAGTGAGCATCAGGGACCTCATCCTCAAAAAATTTGATGTGGTACATTTTGGTCAGTCTGGTGGTGCCCTGAGGGATCAATATGGAGACTGCCTTGGTTTTGATTCACTTGGCAGCAGTGGCTTCCTCCAGCAGCATCCATTGGAAGATTTAAAGAGACAGACCTTCCCCCTTGTTTGTAGCTGTATATTTGAGGAACTCTTTGATGGATCACTAGCTGGTCATAGAGATAAAGGAAGAACAACTTCAGTGACAAGAAATACACATTTTGCAAAACTAGTTTGAAAAAGTCACAAACTGATGGATCCAGCCTTTAACAAGAGAAAATCCACAGTCCCAGAGGAATAGAAGCACTTGATTTTTAGAGTTACCACATTATGATACTCAGAATATCCAGTTTTTAACAAAAAATTATAGAATATATAAAGAAATAGAATAATATGGCCCATTCACAGTAGAAAAAACTTGGCATAAACTATGTCTGTGAAAGCTCAGACATTTAAATTACTAGCCAAAGACATTAAATCTGGTGTCTTAAATATTCTCAGTGAACTAAAGGAAGTCACTGACAACTAAATAAAATAGGAAAATTACATATGAGCAAATTAGATTATTAATAGAGATAGAAATTATACGTTTTTTAAAAACCAAAAAGAAACTGGAGCTGAAAAGTACATAACTGAAATAAAAAGTTCATTAGAAGAGTTCAACAGATTTGAGCAAGCAGAAGAAAGGATCAGCTAACTTGAAGACAACTGAAATTACCCTGTCTGAGGAACAGAAAAAAAAAGCATGAAGGAAAATGAACAGAGCGTGAAGGATCTGTGAGACATCATCAAGGGTACCAACATATGTAACACAGGAGTCTCCAAAGGAGCAGAGAAAAGGAAAGAAGCAGAAAAAATACAGTGTTCCCCCATTATCAGCAGTTTTGTTTTCTGCACTTTCAGTTACCTTTGGGCAACCACAATAATTCACAAGTTTTAAATTGTGTGTAGTTCTGGTAGCATGATGAAATGTCATTCTGCCCTGTTCTGTCCACCCAGGACACAAATCATCCCTTTGTCCAGCATATCCATGCCGTATACACTATCTGCCCATTAATGTACAGGAAAAAAACATACTGTATAGAGTTTGATACAATCTACAGTTTCCTATACTTACTGGGATTCTTGGAACGTATCCCCCACAGATAATGGGGGAACAGGAGACCACTGTATGTAAAGAAATAATGGCTGAAAACTTTCCAAATCTAATCAAAGAAATGAATCTACACATCCAAGGAGCTCAGCAAATTCCAAGTAGGCTGTACTCCAAAAGATCTACGCCAAGACACATTACAGTTAGATTGTCAAGACATATACAACGAGAGAATTTTCAAGGCAGGCAGAGAGAAGTGATTAATCACAATCAAGGGGTCCTTAATAAAATTATCAGGTGATTTCCCAATAGAAACTAAGGAGGCTCAAAGGCAGTGGGGTGACATATTTAAATGCCCTGGAAGGGGGAAAATACCTGTCAACCAAGAATTCTGTATGTGACAAATCTATCCTTCCAGAATGAAGCAATAACTCAGACATTCTCAGATAGACAAAAGTTGAGGGAATTCATTACCAGTAGACCTACCCTAAAAGAAATGTTAAAGAAATTATTTAGTCTTAAATGAAGAGACACTAGACAGTAACTCAAAACCATACAAAGAAATAAAGAATATCAGTAAAGAAATAAAGAACATAGGTAAATATACAAGTCAGTAATATTGTACTTTTGGCTTGTAACTCTTTTTTTTCTATAAAATTTAAAAGTCAAATGTATAATACAATAACTATAAACATTGTTAATGGGCACACACTGTATAAAGATGTAATCATTGACAACAGCAATATAGAGGGTGATGGATGGAGATGGATAAAAGCAGTGTTTGTGTACTATTGAAACTAAGTTGGAGCTGACTGTAGTGGCTTACACCTGTAATCCCAGCCTTTGGGAGGCTAAAGTGGGAGGATCGTGTGAGACCAGGAGTTCAAGTCCAGCCTGGGCCATATAGTGATACCCCATTTCCACAAAAAACAATTTAAAATTAGCTAAGTGTGGTGATGTGTGCCTGGGAAGGTTGAGGTGGAAAGATTGCTTGAGCCCAGGAGTAGGAGGTTGCAGTGAATTAAGACTATTCACTCCAGCCTGGGCAACAGACTGAGTCCTGTCTCAAAAAAAAAATTCTAAGTTGGTATTCAAACTAGGGTGTTATAAGTTTAAGACATTAATTAATATCCCCAATGTAACCACTAGGAAGATAATTAGAAAATGTACAAAAAAGGAAAGAACAAAGGGATCAAAATGGAACATTACAAACATTCAACCAAAGATTTTTTAAATGGGCAGGAATTGAGAAATAAAAATACATATGGTATATATATGATATGATAAATATATATGATATATATATCTTTTTAAATTAGAAG